CCCCTGAGTTCACACCACCTACGTGTATGCAAGAATATATCAGTATGTATTAACCTTTAATCATTTCATGTAGGATCCACGGTCTTCACTCCGGTCCATGGAGCTCTTCGATCCAATAGAGCAGGAACTGCCTCCAATAGAGATGAGATTTTACTTCTTCATCTCTTGTTTAGAATGAAGCAGATGAGCCCCTTGCAGGAGGACAACATTCCCTCAGGTTTTGCATAAATCACATGCACAGAGACTACACTGGTTATTGGATAGAGAATGAGATCTCACAAAATCTCATTCTATTGTCCCTCTTAACTACTGTATGTAGCCATTATAATAGGTAGAAGGATGAAAACAGCTGCTTCCATTCCAGCCATGGCCCCAGTCATCGGGTACATAGATGGATGGCTGAGAATGGTTGGTCTGGATTCTCACCACAGGGTGTCCGTTATCTAATCTGCACATACAGTATCAAATTAGAACACCAATATATTTATTCCATTCCTCTTTGAATGATTAAATCTCAGAAACCAGCTGAGGCCTCAAGAATGATTAATGTACCCAGGCTGAAATGAGAGTGCCTCTGATAGTGAGATAATGAGAAAAGGAAAGAAGACAAGGAAGCACAAAGAGATTATTTATTCAAATGCAAAAGAACAGGCCGAAACACAGGTATCCTAAATTAGTGTTAACCATCTTGAATTCATAGCATGGATCACTGCAGTTGTTCAACTTTTACTGGTCATCTTATTCAGCTTGGGGACTGCTGATGGAAATGTCCTTCATTTAAACAACTCTCATTACGAGTGAAATAATGAAATTGGTAGTAAGACTTGAAATTACATTTACTACAAAAGTAAGCACAGAGAAGGCATGGCAGTAAAGGTTTACAGCTAAGTTCATTTGCTGTGCTGTACTGTAAGTCCTGCAGCCTAGAGAGCATAAGTGCACTTTTCAATCTCTTCATAGTTACAGCTGCACAGTGAACATTAGCTGGAGGCAGCTGAACATATAGTATATAACAAAACTCAGTACACCCCTGTACCATATCACTACAACCTTAAATGATTCAAAACTGTACCATCTTATTTTGTCTTATTTGATATGTAATAAAAAAAAAACTGGCTAAACAGACTAAATACATATGGGCCTCAACATGTCAATGTGATCATTGTGATTATTGCAACAAAAGGCAATTTACCTGTGACTGCTGCAACACAAACAATTGTGCCTGTGATTTCCAAACCATTTTCCATTCTTTATTAAAAATAGGGTGTCGTGTCCAATAACATCACTGATGACAGTGCTCAGAGTGAACCAAAACAGCAAAGTTGTGGACTATAGAATGAAAACAGTGAAGGATGCTAAAAGCCCAGCTGTAAGGAGAACTTCAGAGTCCAATGACAAACTAATTCTCATTCAAAAATATGAGCATCACCTTTCTCATTTTGCTGCCCTCATTACTGTAGCTTTAAATCTGCAATAATGGCCTTTTTCACTGCCTGGGGACTCAATATTGACATATCTTCACCTTTTAAGTTGAATTTGTGAACCTGTCAGCAAGCAGTTGCTTATTTACACACCCAGCAGTTACAGAGCATTATTGCCATTTGGAGTCACGTGTCTGGTCATCAGGTCCAATATATACAGTACTTTCTTTTAGCTCTGTTTTTGGTCTCCACCAACTCCAAAATATCTGATTCTTAATCTACGAACTGCTTGAGTATGTTCACCAGTTAGCTGCTAGCACCAAGCCTCGTCCACAAACAGTGTGTACACACAATTCTGTGCTGAAACCGTGTATACAAACAATTTATGCACAATTTTATTCAATATTCTGTATCAATATTTTCTTACCTTAATTTGTTCATACTCTGTGAACAAATTTAATACTGCCTCACCCCATGTGTATGAACAAATGATGAAGGCCTGGCTGGCTAAAAAATGCAAACACATTTTAACTGAAACTATATTAATTAAAAAGGTTTTAATAGCTAATATAATTGATTAATATAATTTAAGGCTATAATGATTAATTTACTAATGCATTGACCAAATGTAGCATATTAAATAAACATGAAATTAATGCCCTGTCATTCTGATTAATCACAGTTTTAATTGAAATAAATTAAATTTAAAAAACTGTTCTAGTTTATAAGTATATAGAGAAATGGGGGCATGGCAGCAGGCTACTTGAAAACCACTGGAATGCGCCTGTCATTTTAGAATGATTCTGATTTACACTAACATACACACAATAGAAAGAACAAAATTGGCTGGTGTCATGAATATGATGGTAATGTCTCCTGCACTTATTTTGTGCACAAGGTAAGAACATTTCTATGCGCATGTTAGTGAATAAGGTCCACTGCCTGTCTGCCGTTTGGTGTTTACAGTCTTATGCAAAAGTTTAGGCACCCCTTGATACATAACAGATTTTGGTGATTTTTTATTTGAACAGATGTTAACACAGTTTCTCTTGGAAATGGAAAAAATGCACAATATTTTCTGCAAACAGTGATGCATAGTTACTTCTTATGCCATAAATTGAACAAAAATAAAAAATAAAAACATTATTATGGCATGGTGCAAAAGTTTGGGCACCCTACACAATCAGTACTTAGTAACACCTCCTCTGGCAGATATCACAGCTTGCAAACGCTTTTCATAGCCAGCTAAAAGTCTTTCAATTCTTGTACTTGGGATCTTCTCCCATTCTTCCTTGCAAAAGGCTTCTAGTTCTGTAATATTCTTTGGTCGTCTTGCATGCACAGCTCTTTTAAGATCTACCCACAAATTTTCAATGATGTTTAAATCAGGGGACTGTGATGGCCATTCCAAAACCTTCAGCCTGCGTCTCTTGAGGTATTCCATAGTGGATTTCGAGGTATGTTTAGGATCATTGTCCTGTTGTAGAAGCCATCCTCTTTTCAGCTTCAGCTTTTTTACAGATGGTGTGATGTTTGCTTCCAGAATTTGCTGGTATTTAGTGGAATCCATTCTTCCCTCCACCCGTGCAATGTTTCCTGTGCCACTGGCTGCAACACAACCCCAGAGCATGATAGATCCACCCCCATGCTTAATAGTTGGCAAGGTGTTCTTTTCATGAAATGCTGCTCCTTTTTTTCTCCAAACATGCCTTTGCTGATTGTGTCCAAAGAGTTCTATTTTAACTTCATCAGTCCACAGCACTTGTTTCCAAAACGCATCGGGCTTCTGTAGATGTCCTGTTGCATACTTCAGACGTTGGATTTTATGATGGGGACGCAGATAAGGTTTTCTTCTGCTGACTCTTCCATGAAGGCCTTGTCTGTGCAAGCATCGCTGCACAGTGGAACGGTGCACCACCACTCCTGAGTCTGCTAAATCTTCCTGCAGGTTTTTTGCAGTCAAATGGGGGTTTTGATTTGTCTTTCTGACCAGCATACGAGCAGTTCTGTCCGAGAGTTTTCTTGGTCTTCCAGATCTCATCTTGACCTCCACAGTTCCCCTGATCTGCCATCTCTTAATTACATTTCTTACTGTGGAAACTGCAAGCTGACAACGCTTTGCTATCTTCTTGTAGCCTTCTCCTGCATTGTGGGCATCAATAACTTTCATTTTCAGGGTCTTACACAGCTGCTTAGAGGAACCCATGGTTGCTGGGTGTCCACAAGTGTGTGCACAAGGTTTGAAGAGTCAAAGTATTTGTACAGCTTTGAAATTGGCATTTACCAATGACAGCTGTTGCTGTGCATCAGATCTAACGAGCTGATTAAGGTCTGATACCTTGTGAGAGACTTTGAGACTCTGGAACTCTTAGGGTGCCCAAACTTTTGCACCATGCCATAATAATGTTTTTATTTTTTATTTTTGTTCAATTTATGGCATAAGAAGTAACTATGCATCACTGTTTGCTGAAAATATTGTGCATTTTTTCCATTTCCAAGAGAAACTGTGTTAACATCTGTTCAAATAAAAAATCACCAAAATCTGTTATTTATCAAGGGGTGCCTAAACTTTTGCATAAGACTGTACGTGCCAACACACCATGGTTGGCCAAGGATTGTACTTGGAGGATTTTTTGTAAGAAAAAATTTTAATTTTTGGTTTTGTTTTTTTGGTGTGTGTTCCACATGATGAACATTACCTTCTTTGGTGTACCCAAGACTTGGCAAATCTTGAATATGGTGTCCACTTCACTGGAACCTGGAAAAAGAGGCCTGAGGGTATAAAGCTCTGCCATGATGCAGCCGACTGCCCACTGATCTATGGGTGAACTGTAGGATGTGGATCTGAGGAGCACCTCTGGGGCTCTGTACCTGATCACAACAGACAAGATACTGGGATGTGAATGCAGTGAACTCTTACATGTACATACATTATTCTCACTGGGAAAGACACTCACCATCTAGTCGAGACATAGTCTGTGTATGGTGGCCGAGATCTGATCTCACGGGCAAGCCCAAAGTCAGCTATTTTCACCAGCTCTGGGCCCATGCACAGAAGATTCTCGGGTTTCATGTCCCTGTGGAAAAACCCTAACAAAGACATGCTGCATGACTACCTTGACTCTAATGGTACATCTATCACTTGTGTCATGTTTAATTTAAGAAAATTGAGTTGTAAACAGACATACCATGCTTATGAATGAACGCGAGCCCCTGTAGTATCTGAAACATAATATTTCTTACAGCAGATTCAGGAAACAACCGAGTCCTGGCACACAAAACAAATAGAGCAAAAACCTAATTGGTTAAAAAACTGTAAGCATTTACCAAACACAGCTCAAAATGTGGAAGGAATCATGCCCAAAAAAACAGCTGTACACACCTGTCTTTCATAAGCTGATATAAATTTTCCTTCATGTACTCAAATATGAAGTACAAGTGATCATTTTCTCGAATTACCTCCTTAAGTTTGATCACATTTGCATGGTTGAGTTTCTTTAGGGACTGAAAAAACAAAGAAACAGGTTTTATAAGAATATGTGGAATTTATAAACAAAAAAAATGGTAGATATTCTAATCATGCTGGACAAAACACACAGGTCACTGCAGCACATTCAAAAGCACGCCCTACAACTATTAAACAAAACGTTCTTGTTAAAACATGGCTGGTGTAAGAAAACAATATAGTTTGGGTGTAAATGCTGCAAAGGTGGGATTTATGATCATTTAAAAAAGGGAAAAATAAATAGAGAATAATAGAAAGCGGTGGAGAAATGTACACCTTTCCCATGCACTGGGATGATACAGGTTTAACCATGCTAAATTTTAGTTAAGGGGAAAAGCTGTAATGGGATTTTGATATTTCATGGTGTTGACATGCTGTAATTATAATCTAATTAGCAGGACTCTAAGGGACCAGCGTGTTCTACACTTGTTTTGTTGCGTTGAGGTCAAGCTCTAGGAAAGGGGGTGTGTAGGCCAGGGATGGGAACCAGAGCTCAAAACCAACAGCACACGAGAATCACCTTCTACTCTTACAGCTGATGTGTGACTTTGAGCTGTGAGGACATTTAGACAGTAGAATACTGAAATAGTGTGAAAAGAAACAAGAGAGAGTGCTGAACATTTAACAGCTGGTCTAAACTGTACAGCATGTTAGTCACATCATCATCACTGCATTACCAAGAAACCATCATAAGAGTTTGTTTCTGTTTTTCTACACAACAAAGAAAACAACAACCCAAACAGAAACACATAAAGAGTCAAAGCATGTGTTACATCGATATACATATATGTAAGATATTACGACTGTCTTGATGGTTTAAACAGAATATGTTTGACCCTGAATGAGGAACCTTCCACTTTTCTATTCTAGGAGTGTGAGCCTTACTTTTATACTGATACTGATTCACGGTTTCAGCTAAACAAAGCAGTACTGATAAAAAGAGCAATGTCTTATTTACTACAGAGTTAAAAATACCTTATTTATTGAATATAACAATATTTAATTTCAGCAATCCATTACCTTCAAAAATACATTTGTCTCTGTAATACCCCCATTTGACCATTTGATGGTCACTAAAAAGTATTCACAAACTGTACACATCTCTATTCAGTCTCCTTCACAGGTGTACAAGACCACTTTGTTGTTTGCCAGCTTCGGCTGTTTTTGTAAGAGACAGACATCTCTGTTTGCCCTAAGCTAAGAGCGTGTATTCTTCATCAGAATCAGAACTTTCCAAGGCTATATTCTGCCACTGAGACACTAGTATAACTTCCTGTGAATTAAAATGCATGTAGCCTGTGGATGCCTTCAGCTACTTCTGTCAGCATTTAGCTGTTGTTCTGCTCCACTGCGACATTGTTTTTGAGATCAGCTGGTAATACAACAGACCATGGTGATATAGCATAACATACCCAAATTTGGGGAGTTGAGCCAAAAGATGAATGAAAAATTGTGGCAGTTTTGCTTTGAAGATATCGATTAAGTCAGGGGGTGGGGGATTAATCCATGGCAGTGAGGCATTAATTTGATTTTGGGTCGTTTTTTTCATAATACTGCTGAGTTATTCAAATGTGCCAAACTGTGCTGAAACCGTGAAGACACAGCCTAAACTCACCTTGACTTCACGAAGGTTCATGCATTCTTCCCAGGAGTAGAATTTTCTTTTCATTCTGCAAAAACATTGTTCCTGTTAACAAATTTGTTGGAAATGACATCCAGTTACATAGCATTCTTTTTTTTTTAGCTGTTGTTAAGTCTAATAATTACAAAACAAAAAGCCCACACTTGATGATAACCTTGCCCCACAATTCTCATAATTCTTACAGATAGGCTGTCGTAATATAATCGACTGGAGAGAAAGCAATATACAGTAAGGTGTACGACATTAACTCTAAAGCTGAGAAGGAGAAAAATATTGCAGATTGCAGCGAAACCTTGCAATCTCCAAATACTCACTTCTTTATGGCAACTAGTTCTCCTGATTCCAGACTGCGGCCAAGGATGACTGAGCCGTAGGTGCCATCCCCAAGCTGCCTGATGGTAGTATATCTATTCATTATGTTTGTCCTTCCATAGCATCATCTGGGGGCAGGTAATAACAGGGTGACAAACGAAGAAGTGTTCGCTTCTCGTTGCTGAATGCAGCCAGATTTTCCTGTGACAACAGCAGAAGACTCTGGGCAGCACTGGAGGACTCATGGTGTCATGGACTTGCCTCCTTCTAACTGAGAAGGTTTTGGATGGATGACAAACACTGATATTAATAAAGGAGCTGCATCAGTGGCCAATAATAAACCAAGTGTGACATTACCTAGCCGACTGACCACAAACTAACTAAACAGTGAGACATTTTATTGGTGAAACCTTGCCATGGTGTGGACATACAGTACTTGGAACTTTGACCTTTACTGTGCAGAATGATGTATGCACAGAATTGGATCCCTGAAGAATCAACTGCTGACATTTCTCTGTAGGTTCCTTAAATCATTTCAAAGTGTGCACAAGTGCAATGTGCTGGTCTCCAGTGTCAGTTCAAAGTGTGCACATCATGATCCAGTAGGCACTTTACACAAGTGCAATGTGCTGGTCTCCAGTGCACATTCACCTCTTACTTACTGCTTCCTTATGTTCCTTAATCCATTGAAGATTCACTGTGAAATGACATCTTAGTGAAGCTGAAGACATAGTCATTAAACCTCTGATGAAAACAAATTTTTCATGATCATAAATGCTGGATTTATCACTGAGGAAGAAAAGACTGAGGTAACAAATTTTTACCCATTTTCAACAACACGGAAAACCAAATCAGACACATATTATACATGACTGGACTAAGCTTATCTGTTAACTGACAAGTGACATAATGTGTTCAGTATAATACAACTGTATCACCCCGACATCCTGATAGAAAAAAACGATGAAACTGCCGAAATGGTCCTTTATGTAGGCCTAATTCATTACTGTTACTAAACATACTGTATTTAAGATGCAATGTCGGGGTTAGCTAGAGATGATAACTGTAACTAAACTGTTACAAACACTAACAAACATTAATCCGTGATCATGTTTACTGGCTGGCAGAAAATAACTTAGCTACACGTTATTTGCATGAGCTGGGGGTGTTGTGTCGAGATTGGATCCCATCGAGATGTGTCCCCCCCCCCCCCTAACTTGAATCCGAACCTTATCCGAACCATGACGGCTACTAGAAACAGTTTTAACAGAAGGAAACACATCCTGACGTGGGAACAGAGTTCGACACAAGAAGGGGGAAAACCTCCAGCTGTATCATTTATAACCTTACTATTTCCGTGTTTTTCTTAGGTTCATATTCCATATTTTATCTCTAGTAAGTTAGCGTACCGTTAACCGTGTACACTGGAAGCTAACGTAACGACAGTTGGCACCAACTTAAACGTCCATTATTCCGACTCTTAGTTCCAGTTATTTGGTCTTAGCTAATACTAAAGCGTTTGCCGGACTTGCCCGTTTTTGCCTAAATTTTAATAAGTACGGTGGCAAACGTGAAGCAATTAACGCTAACTACATGTGTTGTGGCCCAGCAGAGAAAACACTGGACTGGTTAACGTGAGTGGTCTTCTAAATAACATTAAAACGATAAGCACCCAACAACACTCACCCTCCTCACGTCACACCTACAGCAACACATAGCCGAGCATCTGTAACTGGTGTTCATCAAACGACTCGCGGAATAATCAGCTGACTGACCCGTTGAGAGTCAGATAACCGCATCCAGGTTCTCCAACACAAAACATAGCATTAACTAGAATTTCTGCTAGGCCCTTTGCTCAGAACGCATCACAATCTCGCGTTGCTGTGAGTTTACAATAAATCACAGCTCTCTTCCGGCGGCGAAAATACAAACTGTGATAAAATGATCACTGCAAATTTTAGCCTCCCTCAAACGCCTGCTTTAACTTCTGCACACGGTGTCTACTACATAAAATACGATGACTATTTAAAGCAATTTAATTTGTATTTTGTTTTTTTCTTGTTTTAGGCTATGCAGACACACATACGCAACACGTTTTGTCTGATGAGTTAAATGTGAATGTTAAGTAGGAATTCGTGAGATTCACATATTCAGAAACAGTTAAACACACGAAATTAAAATGTGAATAGCGTAATAAAACTCTCATAACACAGGAACTATACAAGACAATGTTTAGAAAATGGATTATTACAAAAACGAGAAAGAGTTCTTGGCGAAATGAGTGACAATTCTCCTCTGGTCCGATCTCCGAGCTACAGTGAAGTGCCCTAATATTAATTTCTTAGTACACACATTAGCCTGGTATGGTTAGGTGTGGGTACACGCGCACAAAGTGGTATAAGAAGTGCTCACTTGTAAAGCCACAGTAGAGAAACGCGTCCTGCAATGCAATTTACTAAATATATATATACATACACATCATACGTGCCCACAATATAAGAAATATGCCCTTCCAGGCGCCCGCACATTTATGTACACATAAGCACGCAGCAGTGCTCTTGCCTCTTCTTCGTCTTTCCCCGACTTCCCGTGTCACTGAAGCTCCGGGCTGCCCAGCAAAATGGCTGCGTTCCTGCGAGCTCGCAAATATGTTTGCTGTGTGGTTCGTTTCTCCGACCGTGAACTGTAACCGCTAGTGCTGACCGCTTGTGAAAATAAAAAGAAAATCTACTGGTAAAGCTGTGATGGTGGGTCATCGTGTTGTTACCTGTTATTCAGAGAAACGAGTTAGCCAGCTAGCTAGCTAACAAACGGAGCTAACGTCACCTGCCTCTGTTTACCTGTAGTTCGCCCTGTGCTCGACGAGTCTATCTGCAATTAAATAGTTATCAAATCCTAACGTGTTTCACTCACCAGGATTTCGCGACATGTCCCATAAATTAACGCCATGCTGGTATGGTATATTTCTCAGTATAATGGAAGTAACTTTAGTAGTATCTAGTATTTAGGTAGCTTATACAGGGTTAGCTAAGTTGACAGCTATATTGGTGTGCTGTTGACAGAGTAGTGAGTGGGAGTTAGATTAGGCTGTCAACCTCAGTAGCAGTTGTGTTTTGAATTTTTAATAGGTTGATTATAAACAATTCTGGGACAAGTATTCAAATTCTTTAGTAAATGCACTGAAAAATTCTTAAAAACAAGTAAAAGTCCTGCATTGAAATGTTTCTTACGTAGCGTTGAGTAGACTATAATCAGGAAAATGTGCTTAAAGTATCTAAGATAAAAGTACTCAATACAGAAAATGACCCGTATCTCTGTTGTAAAATAATTTGTCATTGCGTTATAATAAATGATGCATTAATCAGTAAAGAGCATTTAGCTAATGTTTAACTATTTTGTATAAAGCTGCAATCAATGACTACTGTCATTATGACTGTCTACTAACTATTGTATTTATTGACCTTGGATTGTAGGGACAAATATGTGTTTATATGTTTTATATTTTAAAACTGAATCTGTAATGGAGCTGTATTTGTCAGATAATTATAGTGGAGTTTTATTTATTGAATCATTGTTTCAGTGCCAGACTACTCAACTCCTGAAACCAGATTACAAGGCACACGACAGCTGATACTCAATGTTTTGTTTGCTTACTATCACATTTGGATAATAATTAGGTAAATGTCTGCATGGTTTAGGCCAAAGCAACAAAAAAGAAAGCTTAGCAAGTGCGGAAGAAAGTATGGCTAAGCCCTCCATACAGAAGCAGTGGGCAATCTAGTTCCATCCTATCTATCCACAACAATGACCAAAAGACAGCCTCCACTCTTTTTCTACAAGACACTGCTGCAAGTTTGAGACTTTTAGCATTAAACACTATTCTGCATTCAAAGGCTTCTATATGCATGTATGTTGGGCTGAATTCACCTGAGAATATTCATCTGCACATCCAAAACTAAAATCCATGACCACAGTTGTAACTGGTTTCAAGGACAAACACCTCCTGCAGTAAATTTAAGTAACAGGCTACTTCACCTATTCTTGTGCAGGCTGAAGAAAGTGCAGATATTGGAGGTGTGATAGAGGATGAAGACGATGGTTCAATTGACCCAAACCTTCAGGTGAGAAAACCACTAGAAATGTTTTTGCTCTCTTTTGCTGTTTTTGTTATTTGACTCTTCTTATTTGTTTTCACTACTAAAATATAAACAGGTTGTTGCATTACAAGAGTATATGCTCACCCAACTTTCAAATATATGAATAAAGTTTAAATAAATATTGTGCTCATGAACATGTAAAACAAGTTTGATGTCCTCTGTTTTGCATGGTTCCAATTTGTGAACGGTTCTTGATAAAACTGCTGCTACAGTGGCATTTAGTAAATTTTTTTTTTAACAATACAGGTGCAGCTCAATGCATTCAGAGCTCAGTGGATGTCTGAACTCAAACCGAGCAGTGGAGCAAGCGATCAAGTGCAGCAAGCTAAAGGTCAGAAGGGGACGCAAGAAATAGCTCGGGAGAAGAAGGTAAGTTATGAAATGATTTGTTCAGGTTAAGGGACATTACTTCATGTGTTTTACATTGCTGCTGTCACTGAAATTTACAGCGCTGTTTAGTGACTGACATGAATCATCTTCTCTAAGGCCACTGAGCTGTTCATGAGAGCTGTTCAGGAAGAGCAGAATGGAACTGTCTATGAAGGTGTGTGTATAGGATATATGGGGATCTAAATCACCTGTAAAAGGACAAAATGTTAGGCTCAACCCCCAAAAATGATTCTATAGGCACTAACATAATGGCATTCATACTGTAAGCTTGTAGAAAATACCACATTATATCAGATTGAATAAAAAAAAATGGATATTTCTTTTTATTATGTTAAATAAAATGTATAATAAAACTGTTCAGATGTCATAGTCATTACCAGTTACTGACCAGGTTTAATATCCACACTTATAGTTTTGTATTTTCCCTGTGAGGAGATTGCATTACTTGAGCACTTCAGTTTAATTTTCTTGTTCACCTATAATTTGTCTGTCCTTGCAGCTATCAAGTTCTATCGCATGGCTATGCAGCTTGTGCCTGACATCGAGTTTAAAATCAACTACAACCGTCCTTCTGACACAGACAGAGTTGGTGGAAGCTAGTGAGTTGCTTTTTATTTTTCAGTGTCCTCTGTAGATTAACTAAATCTAATCCTGCAGTTTTTATATCTTATATATCTTAAACTTTTCAACAATATACTGAATATGTATGACTATACCTCTAATTCATATGATTGTCATAAAGTTTGTATGTTACAGGCAATAAGAAGTGCTTGCTGCAGTGCTGCTTTTAAATGAAAGAGTGAAAATGACAGACAGCAACTTATTGGAATTATTTCCTTGAAAAAGTTAAGACAGCATCTTAGTCTCTGTAATAATCAAGACAAAGTACCTTTGCCAGCTAAAATTATTACTGATGGGATTAAAATTCTCTAACAGAGAACTCAGAGGTTGCTATATTACAACTAGAATTTTTTTTGGTTAAAGTTAATAGAGAAACAGATGTTCACCCTTGAATACCCTTGAGTGATGTGTGCTGATCCGTTCGCACAAGGGATATTCTCACTTCTTAAACTGAACATGTTTTATTTTTGTAGCACGGAAAACAATGATGGTGAAGGTGAGATGGAGGATCTGCTTGTCTACTTTCAGCACCAGCTCACTCTGGAAAGCTCCTTTCCAAAGATCTGCACTCCTGAGTTTGAAATGACTCAGATGCACATTTCAGGTAAAATTTTATTAGACTGCAAACATGTGTAAAGTAATTATCAACCTGAATTCAATAAAACAGATTTGTTTCCTGCTTTAATTTGACTGCAGCCTTGCCACGGGAAATCCTGATGTACATATTCCGTTGGGTTGTGTCGAGCGATCTGGACATGCGAGCCCTGGAGCAGCTCTCTTTGGTTTGCCGTGGGTTCTATATTTGTGCAAGGTCAGCCCTGCTGTTATAACAGATCACATGTGACAGCTTGATTGTTAGCAGCTTTCTTTTCTCCGGTGTTGCTTCTCAAAATTGCTGATTTGGAACTGGCTAATTACGGAGCTCATAAAAGGTTCTGTCTACAAAGTATTTGGTTCATTCAGTCTCAACTTGTAATTTCTCTCTAGGGACCCTGAGATTTGGCGCTCAGCCTGTTTAAAAGTGTGGGGGCGCAACTGCACCAAGCTTGTACCCTTCAAATCATGGCGGGAGATGTTCCTGCGAAGGCCACATGTCCGTTTTGATGGTAATTAAGTATTTTATCAGTTTATGAGACCAGTGCCGATATCTTATACAGAGTTTCCCCACTCTTATAAGGTCATTAATATGTACAGTTTTCTAACAGTCATAAATTCAGATTAAGCACTTTGGAGACCCGCTGCTCATTATTATGCAGCACAGTGTGGTCCCCTGCAGTGGGATGAGGTGTACTGCAACATTTTTTGAGGCACTGGAGAATTTTATTTTAATAACTGTAGAAATTTTACAGTGTTTCAACTTTTACTATGTGATGCCACTGGAGTTATGTCTAGTTTCAGTATACAAGATGTAGTGTGAAACTATCTGTTACTTCTGGATTTGCTGGATGTTGAGCCTTTCTTTCATATTATTCCCACAGGTGTGTATATCAGCAAGACATCATACATTCGTCAAGGAGAGGAATCGCTGGATGGATTTTACAGGGCTTGGCACCAGGTTGAGTACTACAGGTAGATGTTTGACTCATTTTTTTGATAGTGAGCTTATAGATATCACTGCTCAGTGATAGATATCACATATTGCTATGGATATCAGTGCTCACTGTTATCACAGGTACCTCCGGTTCTTCACTGATGGCCATGTCATTATGCTGACCACCCCAGAGGGCCCTCTGTCCATTGTTTCTCGCTTGCGTACTAGGAACACCAGGTATGCTTATTCTGTTTTTTACAAACTTTAGCTAGAATGGGTACCAGGGCCAATCTAAAAAAATTTAGATGGGGTGGCCAATCCGGGGCACAGACTCAGAGGGAGGTGGCACATTTGAAATACATATAAAAAGTAAATTAAACCCCTAGTAAAAAATAAATAAATAAATAACCCTCTAGTTCTGTGAAATAATAAACCATACATTATTAAGAATCAAATGAGGCAAATCATGCCATGTACTACATAACACCACAATCACACAAATGAATGCAGATATCATGCTGCATGCATGATATAAAATAAATCGAATATGACCAATTTCAATTATAAAGCACTAGAAAAATATTAGTTGTATTTAAGGCAACAATTTGTCATTGTTTTTTCTTTTCATTTATTCATATTGACAAGCACATTTTGACTGGCAGGGGAGTTCATCCAGATTCTGGGTGTGGCCGGTGCCACCCCTTGGATCCACCCATGAATGGACACTGACATCAAAAATAATTTGCCATTTGATGGTTAATTGTTGAATTTTGATTTTACAGAATGGATTCTGTTCTGCTCGGTCATTTCCATCTGTCACAGGAGACAGACAATCAAACCAAAGTTTTTGCTGTTCTCTGCAAGAAAAAGGAGGAGGTGAGAATATGTTTGGGGCATTTGTGGTATAAGTGATATAGTGACAGATTACTGAGTAACATATAAATGCTCACCTGCACTGTAAATTCACGTTTTCCAAGAACTTGTTAACTACTCAGTTTATGGCTCAGTTTGTAAACTTACTTTTAGCAGAAACCAACCGAGTTTCAAAGGAATCGGTTCTGCAGGTGGAACCCACCTCCTGAGGCTGAACACATCTTCCATGTAGGATTACATCTGTCCTCCGGAGGGCGTCAGGGTGTCAGTAAGCTGGTGTGGATCCACCACTCCTGCCACATCACCTACAAGTAAGAGACTGAATACTAATAGCACCGGAGAAGACAGTTTATTTTCCTATTTCTTTAAAAATAAACATTATGTTTTCAGGCTGACTGGGGAAACCGTTGTCACAGCATTTGACCTGGACAGGATGTACACACCCTTCTTCTTTGTACGTGTGAAGAGTTACACCGCTTTCTCTGAGAAGCCTCTTTGAGCCGCATGGAGATGTGCATGCTATCCCATGATGATCCCATCCACCATTTTAACATAATTATACTCTTCAGCCTGTTTATTTTGTGCTGCAGCTGGGTTATGGTGTTGATATATACAAACTCTCATGTTTCCTACATGCAATTATATTACATTCAGGTTTACATAATAGAATACTACTTATTTTCTGATTTCAGAAACTATGATAATGTGCTGAGAGCTAAAATAATTAGCAGTCTTTCCCACCAATTCCAAGCAGTGAATGTTCATTAAGTTTTTGCTTCATGTTGCACTTTCTCCCTCAAATAAATAGTGGTGAACAGAATGTCCTCCCTTTAGTTTCATTTGTTTTGAACTGAATAACTTGTATTGTATACTACATAGATGGGCACTGAGTAAATGTTAAAATGTGTTGCTAAAACAGAACTAAAATGTCAGCCTTTGTGTAACCAGACATGTTATCTTTACTGGATTTCTCAGTATATAATGATCAGTCGTGGTTGTAAGAAAAATTATGCATCACAGTAAAATTATAGACTTCCCATTACACAACCTCAGACTTTGCACGTGTGATTTCACACTTCCACATAATATGTATTGCTGAGGACACACTGACATGTATTAAAAGGTTTTGGGAACCAAGCATGGACAGATCAAACAGGATAACTTTGTGTCTCCTCTCTCCCGTAGTGTGTCCTCTCTCTCTCCCTGTACCTTTCTGCAGGTTGCCCTGGCCCTGGAGCTCTATGTCTGTGATGAGCAGTCACCAGCCACATCAACCTGACCAGTGCTTTGTCTTGTTGCTTTTCTTCTTTTGTCTCTCCTCTATCCACTCACCCCAACTGGTCGAGGCAGAAGGCCGCCCACCAAGAGCCGGGGTCTGTCGGAGGTTTCTTCCGTTAAAGGGAGTTTTTCCTCCCCACTGTCGCCAAGTGCTTGCTCAAGGGGGATTTGTTGGGTTTTCCCTATGTAATAATATTGATAACAGTAAGGTCTAGACCTTACTTTGTAAAGTGTCCTGAGATGACTTTTGTTGTGATTTGGCGCTATACAAATAAAATTTGATTTGATTTGATTTGCACAGAAAAAATAGACAAAGTTGTAACAGATTAGTTGGTTTTAAAAAATATTCTAATGCCAACTAGTCTCCAAATCCTCAACTTACATGGTAGGTAAATCATTTTGCTCATGTTAGCATGATTGCTTTTTGAATGCACACATGATGCACAGATTCCGCTTTTTTTTTTATCACCAACGGTTATGGTGTTTAAATTTTGGTTAATTGGGCCACCATAAGATAGACTAAAAGTGCAAATCATTTTGCTCATGTTAGCATGATTGCTTTTTGAATGCACACATGATGCACAGATTCCGCTTTTTTTATCACCAACGGTTATGGTGTTTTTTTTTTTTTTAGCAAACTCCTCTCAACTGTTCAACTCTTGCATTTCACACAGATTTCCTTATGGGCAGTTTTGCTGCCATACATATATATATATATATAACACAGCTGCTGGAGGTCCTACAATGGCAAATTGTGTTTGATGTGGGAAGCAGGAGATTTGACTGAGAACCAGATTCTTTCTGCGTGCACATGAAAATCATGCCAAATAGAGATAACAAGTCTGATGTTACTATGATAAAAAACAAAACATAAATAGACTATAATGCTGTTTTCACGGATACATCAACACTGCCACCCTGCCTTCTCTGTCTCCTTCAGGCCTCAGTGAGTAAGGCATTGTTTGCATAGTGGCTGACCAGCACCGAAGCTCACAGACAGCTGCTCTGTCCTCCAGATGCAAGCTTTGCACACAGCACTGTTGGGGAGGAGGAAGAGTAAAACTGCTTAAGAGGAAGAACGTAAGGGGAGCAGAGGTGGGGTTCCAACACAGACAGACAGCTAGACAGTTTTGACTGGGGAGAAAGAAATTACTTTATTCTGGTACCTTATTAGCACTAAACTGGCAGTATCATCAACTGAGCCACTAGCACTGATTACTAAGTGATAGAATTAAAATTCAAAATAATTATTAGGCTCAATGAACTCTACAGATACTTCTGCTTTGTGAAGCATTGTAAGGAAGGAAAACAGTTAGAGAACTAGTAGGTTTACAGCTTCGGTTTGTTTTTAATTTGTTACAATGAGTAAAGCATAAGTCGCATCATGTTAACCCGGTTTTACCCCAGATTTCAGAAAAAATATTTCACATTTTATAAAATGTAATATCTCACACCTGTATGCTTTCTCACCCTATATCAAATTGGGGGTAATTTAACCCTGTTCTTAAATATGTAAACCCTGAATGTGAGACGGCAGGTAGCTGGACATTCAAAGGAAATAACAATAGTTAGCGGATATGGTTCATGACTGTGGACCATATTCTTCATGCCGAGGAATTGTGGCCTTTGTGTGTATGTTGCAGATTTCAACGATAATTCCCGCTGCATGAATTTAGGTCACTGCTTCTGAACAACATGTCATGTTCCTTCAGTGGTAAAAGGCCATATGGTACCTCATTAAATTAAATCAGCACAATGGAGCAGTGCAGCATAATAATTCAAATATCTTTGTGCCATTGTTTTCTATACCTGCTTTTACTACGAGGCCCCTGACTCTGAAAGAGAAAAGAAAATATTAACATGAGGCATAAATAGCTGAATCACTCTCAGCAAAACAGGTCACAAACATCTCCCAGCTACTCCTGTATTGTAAAATAAAACCATTATTTTAGGAGATTTGATCATTTCAAGAAAAAGAGTCAAGTGCACAATTTGAACAGTGAAGTTTGACACATTAGTCAGAAATGGACCAACGTCAAACTGGTGTTAGCATAGTGAAAAGATTAAAAATGCTACATTAGCAACCAATTCTGGTCCAGAAGGCACCCGATACATATAATATTTGATAAAACAAGGTTAGTAGTTTAGTAGCTGTTTTGGTGTTTTTGATGCTTACATTGACATTTTTCTTTTTCAAGACAACTGGGCAAGATCATGTGACAACCAAAAGCTCCAAAGCATCTACTAAATGGATCTTTTGGCTCTTTTTTTTTTTATCAACTGCGGTTTCCATGGTCAGCTACATAGTAAAGTATATCTGAATATAACATACGTGAGTATTTAGCACTCAGTTATACAGTATGATTATATTCACTTGATAAATCTGATAGCTAAATATTTACCAGCAGCAAAATAGTTACTGCAGACCTAATGTGCCTTGATTTATTTAAAATTACAGCAATTCAAGTACTAATTGCAATTACTGGCTAAAACCACAGTAGATATTATAGAGTGTGAAAGGAGAAAATGGACTTCTGGTAAAGTGGAGATGTTAAGGTGAAATGTGTTTATATTGTGCTCATAATAAACTACATTGTGTCATGGATTAAATAGGACTCCTGCCATATATAGTACACTATGCTTTGGCTACACCCTGCTCTGCATATACATGGCAAAAAGCGACTTCTGCTCTTACAACCTGTCATAAAAATTATGCAACAGCACAGGCAGGAGTGAGATCAAGCATGACACAAGACACACGCTGTAGTTACACATTAAGGCCCATAGCAAGCAGTGTGTTGTTTGTCCCTTAGGTTGGGTGTGATAAAACCTTCAGCTGCTAACACACAATGCAGCGTTCATCTTTGGACCTTCTATGTTTAAAGCATCACTGAACAAGGCAAAATGTCTGTTTGTTTCCTGGTAGCAAGAAAAAGAGTTTTGATTTGGAGTGAATTGTAGAGGGTGAGGGGGGGACTATGGTGCCATGGCAACCATACTACAATACTCTTTTTTTTAAACTATATTAATTTAACAACTCCATACCATGAGCAGCAATGTGTGCAAAACCATGGAAAGTCTGGATATACTGTATATGGCTTTTTTTTCATCTTAAGTGAATTCTAGACTAGATAGAGTAGTACATTTAGCCCGTAGCAGCACTAGCTAAAACGCCACAGTGAGAATTGGGTGACAGATTCTCAAATGTCAATCCACCCTCAGCTTCTCGCGTGCAGCATGCTCCATAGATGGCGCCCCATTTAGATGTCCGTTTGTTGATAGAGGAGAGCCATTCTGGTGATCCTTCTTCAGAGAACCACGGTGCTTCTTGTAAGTCTTGTGTGAGAGAAAGAGAGAAAGAAAGAACACGGTTAAATAAAGGTTACTTCATAATTAAATCTAATTGCTGAAACAGAAATGTCTATTTAGAATGTTAGATGGTATTGCTGAGGTAATGTAGAAACATCACAGGGTTTGTCTGGGGCACCTTCTGAGATATTTTGTTGATGTTATGTGTCACTGGCTAGATATTTTACACTATCTAACATCCGTGCTGGTTCTGTATCAACCTAAAAACTCTAGTATCATAAAAGGCTTTAACAAAAATGTAAAATACACAAAACTTAGATCCCAAAAATCTGCTAGCAGCAACAGAACACAAATATACAGTCTTATTTATAACAAGAAGGATAAGGCTGGTTTTATTCTCTGTTTGTCTTATAGTCAAATTAACTCCTGAAAATACTAAAACAGCAGGCCATAGATACTGTATATCACATTTCTGAAGCAAACACCCTTGTTAGTAGACTGAATTCATTCATTTGCCAACAATACGAAAATATCACCAGCCTTATATATACAGCAATTTAAAATGGAGACACAACTGACCTGAAAGTAGAAGTTTAAGAAAAGGATAATGAGCGTGAACATGTAGCTTATTTGGAAGAGGAGCCATCCAAAGGGGAAGCCACACGGCCATATGACCGCACACATTGTCTGGGACACGGTTAGGAAGAACTGGATCTGTGGAGGAAACACGACACACACAGGCAGACACACACCAGTGTGAAGGTGGCGCAGGGATAAAGGTGAAACTGAAATATGTTAAATTGATAGTAAAACATCTGCACTACACTAAAGTCTCGACAATCTGCCACAGCCTACACACTCTCCTTATAAGAGCATTTCTACACAAACTGATAGAAAAACAAAAGTAATATTATAACTGCATAGACCTTTTTTTTTTTTACTTCTCTTAAGAAGTAGAATTAAATCTCTTTATGACAATGAGGGTTTTGCAAATTAAATTGTCCAAAAGTAAAAAAACATACAATGATACTTACACAGTAATGTATTAGTAATAATAATCCTATAATATCAAATTAGTCTTTTTTTTTTACATTATGGCTTTTAATGTTTCAGTAAATTTTATAGACAATTAAGTTTTGAATACATGACTTTATTGTCACAACACTGTGGCATTGCTACTTTTACTTAAGTAAAGAATCTGAATACTACTAGAAACTACAGGATGAACCCACCAGCTGTAACTGTGTGATGTATTTCTTCCACCAAAGATACGGACGCACAGCTGGGATGGCTGAGAGGCCGTAGTAAGAATACATCACCACGTGGACAAAGCTGTTTATGGAGGCGCCAAAGTACGCTGACGAAGCACAGAGGACAGACGCAGGACATTAGTCATCTACAGCGAGCAACAACAGTCGGTATGTAGCATTCAGGAGTGCAGTGATCATACAGGGAATAACAATGTTTCATTAGTCTGCTCTGTTGGGAACCATTACAACAAATTTCATGAAAAATCAATAGAAGCCATTATGGGTAAAGTTATACAGAAATAATACAATGAACGCCTGATAAATGGTGAAAGGGTAAACTGTTTTCAAGACGTTATAATTTGCCAAGTGGTTTGCTTTACAGTTACCCAGTGAGGCAGCAGGGTGTCTTTTAGGTCTTTGTGGGGAAAACAACGGGTTTAACATTAGAGCACCTGAATTATTTCGCTTGTGCTGAGGCCAAACAGTAAATGTGTTTACTGGAGTGATTTGAGTCACTGGAGGTCAAATTTAGTGTTAAAACACTCACAGTGGCCGCAGGGGATCCAGTTCATGACAAACCACCAGATGTTCAGCATGCTAGTGTGGTGGTAGATGTGAAGAAAAGTGATTTGGTGATTATTCTTTCGTAGTATGAAGAAGAAGGTGTCCATGAACTCGATGAGCTTGGAGAAGTAGTACCACCACAGGACGTTCATGACCTGACAGGAGGCGCAGCAAAACAAACAAACAAACAAACAAACAAACAAACAAACAAAAAGGTTAAAGACAGAAATAAAACTAAATTTAAATCAATCAAAAAATAAATACTTCTTTAAAACTCACACACTCACACACACACACATAGTCATACAAGGTGAAATCTGTCACCGAGGCCCTTGAAAGTTCAGGATGAACCATGAAGCAATGTAACTTTCTCTAGCAGGGAAATGTTGACATAACATTTTATTTCATCACTGCAGAAGTACAAGGCTGGGCACATTTCACTATGAGCTTTGTTTTCACTTCCACTGCAGCGCTCAGTGGGGACACTGAAGAGAGGCATCCTGATGACACAAGTCAGATTAAACTGACTCCGTTTCTGTATAGGTACGTGGCCACTGAAATCTGGAAATGTATACTCACATTTTGTCTAGTATTATACTTATGTATTCTAACTGCCCTGCAGTAACTGGTGTTTATACATTCGATGTCCTGTCTATCATGTACTTTGCAATGAAGTGATGTTAATGATGTCAATATACAGTAGTATCATAAAAACATGCTTGTCTGACCCACCTTGTTATCCACTTCCTGTGCACTGTGAGTGTTCTGACAGTAGAAGTTGTAGCTGCTGTGCCACACAGCAGTAAGAAGCTGATTAAAAAGACATATAGATGAATGAGTATTTTACCAAACCCTTGAACACATCTGCAAGACACAGACACAGTGTGATGCAAAAATACAACACAAAAGTGAAACTTTAAAGATATGGTGCAACTCTCCCTCCTACATTTGGTTCCATGTGTGTTTGGTGTCACATTGTGGTGACTGAGCCTTAGCTGCTGAAGTTACTTATAAATATTTCAACTAGTTAAAGGTAACCACACCATGAGGTCACCCTGCTATTAAAATATAATGTATGGTGTGTTGTTTAAAAGGTCTTCAGGTCATTTTGAGCACCATTCAACATAAATGATTAGTTAGCTTTAAACTATTTTGATCTGAAGTCCGTTCACAATTACAGCATGCATACAATAACAAAACAATGTTAAAACAAACTGGACAGAACACATAATACAAAATACTGTATACACAACAGTATAACACAGATACTTAATACTTCCTAATATCAGCAAGAAGTGTATATATATATATAGTGTATAAAAAACAAAGGCAGGGATATTAGCATCTTTTGGAGCCCCTTCTCTTCTCGTCGTAGGCCCACATCTTTCAAACTCCGTGTGTGACACAGACTATTTTAAATTTGAAATCCAGGTGATGTCCAAGTTGACATCATCAAGGTTATTTTCTTAGACTTGACACTAGGCATAAAAAACATTAAAGAAATCCACAGGCTGAGAACTACTCTGTGTGACAAGTAGAAAAATATCTACCGGTAAATGTGAAACAGGTGACATTCCCCTTTAAAGAATCAAACCTCATTTACAGTAAATAGCATGGTTCAATGCTGATTCATCATGTCAGTATTTTATCTGCTGCTGTAAAAGGCCTTATTAACACTTATCCTTGTCCTCCCTCTGACCTGATATACAGTAACTACCTCCTTGATTATTTCTTCAAACCTAGAGTAGTCAGCACATATGAATGAATCACAGTTGAATCACTGTGTGATTAACCCCTGTGCCCTGGAAAGGTGATGAGAACAAAACTGCCTTGTACTTTGATCCATATCAGGTGGTATTGATCACTTTGGACTTACACGTGCACAGAAACACAACTTCAGGTTCGGACCTCCTGGTGTTCACAGGTAAACTAACCAGCACTAAATACCATCATCATTACAACTGTGCACTTTTGCTTAACTTAAACAGCAAATTCACCTTGCTAAATGCAACTTTTATGTTTGTACACATCTGTGCATCTATGAATTTCAGTTCAGCTGTTTATATTAGAAAGTAAAAAAATTGAAAAAAAAAAAGAAAATAGCAGCTTTCCAGCAAACAATGGTGGGGGGCTGTACTAATGTCTGCGGGGACATATGAGGTATTGGATGACTGAAACAATGCATGTGTCAGCATCCAGCTGTGTCCCTCTCACTCTCTGTTAGCATTGTCTCTTGTGATAGCTTTCAGAGAACAACGCCAGTGGGCACAGGGCCGTGGCTAGTCAAAGTTAGTGTCCAAAAAATGGTTTGACATTTTTTTTTTTTTAATTTGCTTATTTGCTTTCTTGTAGAGAGTTAGTGAGCATGCAGCTCCTGCTCAGGTCAGCTGTCTGCTGTGTTATGTTAGTGATTATGTTTGGGGCACACCTCTCTGAGCTGAGCAGTCTATTTACCTCATAGAACATGTAGAAAGACAACAACGTGACGCCCAGATTGTAGAGCACCAGGAGGCCTCTGCAGGAGTAGGGCTGCCTGTGTTTCATGTACTTGGGCCCCATCCACACAATCAGAAGGTACATGACTGTCAGTGCAAAGGTCGGTGGGTAGTTGTCGAGCAGAAGCCACCCCCGCACCCGCTGATCTGAAATATGGAGAAATATATCTGAAGAGTCCACTGTTACCTCTAGATCAAAAGCAGTACACAACGAGTACATCATATAATAAAAAAACTGGGCCAAAGGTTTTCGACATTATCTCCACTGCTGCCTTTGCCCTCTGTACTCTACTGAGTTTCTGCAATATTTCCAAAACTCCAGAAATCAAACAAGGACAGTGCTTTTAATATCAGCTACTGTGGTGCCAGTATAAGCTTGACTTACCTCTGGGACCAATCCATGATTCAAAGAAAGTGTTCAGTTTATAATTGAAGGCCTCCATTTGACACCTAACAACAGAATACACAATGACACACATGCATTACTCAAGGGTTCTACATCCACAGTAATGTTAAAAATTATTTTTGATTCATAAATGCTAAATCAACAAGCCAAACATGATCATGATAAGCCCAGAATATTAGCAAACAGTTGCCAGTTTGTGGATCTACTTCTTACCCTGGTCATTGGTCTGGTGTTGAACCTGTTGTACTGTGCGCCCTAGATAACTGTGTCTATTGATTCTCCAGCATCACCGTCCAAATGACTGTGGTTTTGAGCAATAAATAAATAATGGCCACTTGTCACTCTGGGATGCAAAGAACAAGCGAGCAGGCAGGTGTGTGCAGACCACAGTCGTTTTATAGCTTTTAGACTGTTGGAGCATTTATTAGCTCTGGCGTGCACGAGGGATATTAACTGCAGAATCTTGTCTGGTACAGAGAGTGCTGCTACATAAACTTTGCACATGTTCTCTTGCCAGACCTGTGGTGATGTATTATTGTTTGCACCTGTTGATCACTCAGTCCTTTGAGTTTCACACACATGGGTGGTGTATCCAGTACTTGTGGAAAGCTCAGGGAAAGGCTGAAAAGTACAGATTTACTTTGTAGTTTCCAGAAGATTTTTTTTAATCAACAATAGATGTAACGTACAGTATGGTATTAGATTCCACTGCTCTGGTTCTGAAGGTCAGCTCAACATTGTTATATAAAGCAAAAGGCCATCGGGAGGCGACAGTGGCGCGGTGGGTAGAGCAGTCGTCTCCCAATCAGAAGGTTCGAATCTCGGTGCCTCCTATTGAAGTGTCCTTGGGCAAGACACTGAACCCCCCCATTGCCCCCGATGGTTAGAGCCATCGGTTCTGTACCGGAAACAAATTCCTTGTAGCATACTTGGCCAATAAAGGTGATTATCCTTATCCTATTTACACAACTGTATGAATGTTTGGCTGCTCCAGAACCTGCTCTGCCTCTGCCCCACCAAGCACCTGCTCCATTTCACTCTTCTCTCCTCCACCCAGTAACCTGTTCTTTGTTTGTCTTAATAAACACCTTTGTGTTCCACTACCAGCGAGTGTGTGTCTGCATATTGAGGCCACCTGTTACCTGGACCCCTTGACAGAATTCAATCTATTTTGAAAAAAAACCCATATAATATATTCACTTAAATCCTGTAAATATTCATATTTTAATCATCTGAGTTGCACAAAAGCATATAAGGAACGCAGGTACTGCGTGATACTAGTAATTTCTTAAAAACACCTTTTAAACATGATACAATGTGTTGACTTAAGACAGTAAATGTTGGGCTGTGCATGTTATCAGTAATTGCCTATGCAACAAATCGCATAATTGCCTTTGTCCATGATCACTTACAGTATCTGCAAGAACTAAATATGCCTTATTACGGCTGCTCCAAACATGATAATCTGAAAGGCTTTAATCAGAGCACGAGGAGCCACAACAGGGGAGCATGGTAACAGCCACTCAGTGAGTCTCTCCACGGTGGAGTGATGCAAAACTAATGCATCATCTGAAGTTTGTTTAGTGGTTTCATCTGACAGTGACTCTTTGAAACTAGTTAGGGTTGGGCAGCGTTATAGTATGTGTCGATATCCAATAATGTACACATCATCAGATATACTGTACAGATATTCTACTGATAGAAATCTCAAGACATGCTTATACTGAGGCAAGTTTCAATTTCCATTTATTATAAAGTTTCTTAATAGACTTTCCATAAATATTACCCCGATATATTGACACTGGGATAGAAAGGTAATCCGAACTAGATCTTAAACCTAGGTCTACAGGCTACTCTCTGAGAGGTAATAGTGCAGGTACCTACATGGGTAGTAGTGAGGTTATACTGTAGGCTATGATGTCCTGCACTGGAATTATGTATAGGAGTGATGACAGGAACAGTGAATCTAATTTACAGTTGAGTATACTAAAGACTAGTAGTAGAATAGGCTATAAGAATTTAAAAACGCACCACTAATACCAGTACTACCAGTACAGGTGGTGCGTTTTTAAATTCCATGTATAGAAGGGTACATTAGTGTTGATATGCTGATCGGGCAGCTTGGAGATCTCATGTCATATGTACGGGAGTACTAGGCTGTTACATGTGTATCCGTTCATTTGCACCACACTACATTTCCATCACAAGCCACACGTGTAATCCAAGCTGCCCTCTTCACACCGTGGTGTAGGTAGCCACTGAACAGTTAAGGTGAGCGCTGAGCTGGTGACGGTGGCTTTCTATACCAGCCTCTAATTCCATAGATGAAACTTCCAGAGAAGAATTAAGGAAATAGGCCTAATCATTAAAAACAAACTCATGGCATCCTCGATCGCATCCAGGCTACAGCGAGGTCACCGCTTCAGCATCACCCAAACTCATCGCTTACAGCCGCCATGCAACAGATCTGCAAAAACACCATAGAAAGCCTTACCATAAAGTCACCCCGCTGTCCGATCGCGTTAGATTGAGAGCGAAATGTTGGTTGTGGATGAAAAGATGCAGCTGTGCGCCAGTCTACCTTCTGAGGCGGGGAGAGAAGGAGGGAAGACGTAGGCTATGGGTAACCTTCGCTGGCCCGGTCTGAGCACAATGTGCAGCCTTGTCGCTGGGTGGAAAACAGTGGGAGGGACACCCAGCCCACACTGGCCCGTTGCCCCACAGGAGCCTCAGAGCCAGGTGACCCGGTGTGTTGCAACGACCCACACATAGGCTACACCCACAGTCAAAAAGATGACATAAGGACACTGTACTTGGAGTCAAATAGGTTATGATTTCTGTAGACGAGGCATGTGGAGGCTGTATGAATGCGGGAAGCATATCTGTTGAAACTTTTGTTTAAATCATTTTCCCTGTTATTTGGAAAACGATCAGTTCATATTTGTAGAAATAAAAGCTACGCATACAGTATATTAAGTGCGCAAACAAGCGCCAAGATTTAGGTATTCAATCCCTTTACATAAATAAATGCACTGTTCCTTAACTAAAATTATAAAAGGTATCAAAAGTAAAAGTAGCCATTATCCAGAAAAATAACTTTTATACTGTTGTATAGATATTATATGAGATGAATATTACTGATGGGCATCCTCTGTTTTTGCCCAGGCCCATATACCTTCAATGCCAATTTCATGTTTATCTCATTGTATTCTGTAAAGTATTAGCAACAACCCAAACAGTGTGAAAAAGTGTCTTGAATGTGTCTTGACATGTTGTTTAGTGCAAATGGGGATAACAATGCAACATACAGTCCCTGCTCAAAACTCAGTGGGGCCCCTGAGCCTGTGCCTGGCAGGCCCATTCAGTAATCCATCCATGGGGCCAGCCACTGCAGTTTAACTTGATCAGATTATTTTTTTTAAATTAGGACTGCAGCTGGATCAAAGATTCCAGGATGCTTTAACCTCTAGAGTCCTGAGCTTTGGAAACCCAAGCTGTGCGGTCCTCATATGAGGACGCAGGGACTCTAGAGGTTAAAGGTGCAGTAGGTGAGAAAACGGTGTGACATGTTTTCTAGTAGCTATTCGTAACACATGGAGCCACAGTAGATAAGCAGGGATGATGGCTGAACTATGGCATTAAGATACTGCTTATCGAGTCAGTGGAGCCTGTCATGGCAGTTTAGCCAAAGTAAACACAATACAGGCGTAAAGCCAGATCAGGCCACTGAGTATCAGGAGTTACAGGGACAGAAATGCATGCGTTTACAGTGTTACACCTGAATCTCATCTCCCCTTCTTACTTAGGGTGTACATAGTTCAGAAACTCTGATCACTGATAAGACATTATATAGACCTTTTCACAGGTTAATTAATAAAATTAATAATGGCTGAATCAGATTTATCTACCTACCTCAGTTCAGGGTTCTGGTGTTGTTCATGACGATAGCTTACTGTTACACAGCCACTGGTAATGTCACCGCATGGTAACACCTGCACTTTTCTACTACAAATCTCCAGAAGTCAGAGGTGATAAATTGATTTATTAAAACTGACAGACCTAAAACATGCTTTCACACAAATTCTCCATTCAATTATTTTTAGTTTTTGCACAGGGTCTTATAGCATGGTAATTTCGGTGCTCTCATATCGCTACATGCCGGTGTTCCTTTTGGAACTTTTATTTAGTTCTAATGTTCATTGCATTACAATGAGTTGTCTGTGCTCTAATTTTCATTTGCAGCATAAAACTATATCTCTGGTCTCTCCAGACCAGAACCAGCATTCATTATTTGGTCCAAGAGGTCAAACTATGTCCTTGTTTGTCACTGCATGTGTGCATTATGTAAAAGATGTGGCTCAATATCACCATCTTGTGGCTGAAATAGGAAGATTAAGTGGAGAATCAGTTTTGAGAGAGTGATCCTGGTCCATGTGTGTGCTCACTTCTGTCTCTGCGCCCTCTGGATTTTGTGTGAAAGTCTGTCTGTGCGAAAGGTTTTGAAAGGGCACAACACAAGTTTCAAGCACATTTGAGAGGTGCAGCTTTGTAAGAGCAGATTCAGATTTCAGAGCAAGAACAGAATCATGAGCGCACTCGCAATGATCAATGCTGCTCTCGCTCGTTTTTAAAAGTGCTGAATCCCCTGAGCGTAAACTCAAAACTTGGAGCAGAGCATCACCTGGAAATCACCACCTGAATTACACCTTGACACTTCCTTCTACTGTCAAAATAAACGCCAGGTGTTTTTAATCACCAGAAACAGTATTTGATATCTGTAATGTAGACATGTCTTACTTATAGATTTATTTTAAAACACTGCCACAAAGCAAACAATGGTTCACCATTTCCACTTGGATGCAACACAGTTTTAAAAGGCTCAATCACAATATCAACAGAGCAAAGCAAACCTTTCTTCTAAAATATTAGACATGTTATTGTAGAGCGGGGACACACTATTTACAGAATACCAGACTACTGTACAACTCTTTGCTATATTTACATTCTCAAACAGACATGCAACATTTCCAGAGAAAAATAAATACACATCTGTTTTAGCTATTACACAACCTTCTGCATGTCTTAACCCTATTAAAATAATTCTGTATTCATAAGAATCTGATACAGTATATATAAACACATTAGATGCATGTGTGTCTCTTACAACACACTCATGTTGGTTAGCATTCTCTTACAATTGGGCTGCTTTCATTTTAAGCCATTCATTTGGTCTTTCGTTACATGCTTTCAATAATGACTGCATTTTTGCAGTGATTCTCATTTGGACTTGTTAACTGGGTTTCCAATGAGCTCTGGGCATTGCTCTTTTCCTTTTGCAATCCTATCGCACTTGCGAAAGAGGTCATAGTTGATCTTGTCAGTGATGACACTGTCCTGTTTATACTGTGGGTGCTTTGCAACAAATTCCCTCATCCACTTGGCCATGGTCATAAGTTCGCCTGTTTCAGATCAGAGAGATCAAGAGTTACAGGTGAAGCTACACAAGGAGGAAATCTGTGTTTGGCTTATGTGAACATTAAGCTTTGTCCTTTATTGGTAATGTACCTGAGGCACGTTTCTTGATGAGCTTCAGATAATTCAAAATGGTGCACCTGGTGTCCACATCAACTTCCATGGTTTCCAAATAGGAGTTAAGGATTGGGATAAGCCCTTGAAAAACTCCCTCCTGGTGATGAAGAAAGAAGAAATGGCTTGAAGCTAGACTATGAGTCTACAGCATGCTAGCAGCTCTGTGAGGGCGTACTAAGGCACACCTGGTACTACTCACCTTTCCATTGATGATTGTGTCGATGCTCATCAGTGTGTACTCCTCATTAGCACAGTCAGTCTCCAAGCTGTTCTGGGCAGAAGCGGCGCCATCGGGGACTGGGTTGCAGCCTGTTGGAGGACAATACAAATGTATTAGTTAGTTCTGTTTAAGGCCATCACCATAAGCTGTATTTTGGGTTTTATCCACCTTTGAAGATGTCCTTTTGGAAGTAAAACATCCCCTCCTGAACAGCGTTCCTCTTCTGTGCAACCTTCATGTTTTCATCCACCTAATAAAAGACAAGTGTTTCCTGTATGAGGGCACTGTGTACAAAACCCCCCAGTATTATTAGAACCCACATGTCCTACTCCATTAGTTAAAATTGTCTTCAAGACTAGATGCGTGTGGCTGTTTCTGTTTCCACCTTTGACAAAGGTATTAGGAAGTCCAGTTTGTAGGACAAGATCACTCTGGTGAGCAAGACGACAAAGACCACGTACGCAGCGTTTTCAAAGTCAGTTAGCTGCACCTGGGGGGGAAAAGCAGATATAAAATTTTACTCACCGTCAAGTTTTCTTCAGTATTAAATAGGTCACTGAATATAAACCCTGAGTAGGGGTGTGACAAGATCTCGGGCCACAAGAAGTCACGATATTAAAATGTGACAATATTTCTCATCGAGGCTAAAGCCGTCTCATGATATCAGTACATAACAGACCCAGGCCAGTATGACGGAGTGCGAGGTTATTTTCACACTAGCCTTGCAAAAATGCAACTCCCTGTTGTGTTTTAACACAAGTGGCTGCACTGGTCGGGGGTGAGGAGTGGTAGGCACACTCAGAACCTGTGTGCCAGAGACAAATTCCTTGAATGTTCAACATACTAAAGCTGATTCTCATTCTAAATGTACCGTCACACCCCTAACCCTGACTACAACTGAAGGTGAAAATGATAAAGAGTCTAGCTGGTTATTACCTCCATGGGGCGGAACTCAACTCTCCAGCCAATGTCAGAGTTTGGAGGTGGAGGTTTAAACCTCATTGTCTGCCAGTTAGTTGACTGAAGGTTCTGCAAGACAAGTTTAAATACTTGATGCTGATACACTGAATTCGAATCTGTATATTTGGCTTTCTTCTAAAAAACTGCTTATGAAATCCAGGAAACTTCACCTCAAAGTGATCAGACTCATTTTCATCATCCAAGTGTATTTTCTCCTCAAAGACAGAGAGTGGATCTCGGATGAAGAGGTGTGCTATGTGTTGGGCCAGGAGCTTGTCGATTCCTGCAAACAAAAAGCTGATTTATTTCTTTATTGTACAAGCATCTATTAGTGTATTATTACTGTAAAGTTAAATATTTTTCATTTACTCAACATATTCCTGTGGATAACATGGCAAAGCACTTGTATTGTATTTCAGACATCAGTTTCTCCAGTACCTGCACTGAGCAGCTGCTTGTAGATCTCCTCGTCTATCGTCAAATTGATGTCGTTGTACTTCTCACCACAGCGAGAGAGGTAGCTGTCGATGGAATCATATCTTGACTTGAAGATCCTGTATTTATTGTTTTTCAAAGGCTGCAAAAGAAAAAGCCATTTTCATACTTCACACTCAAATATGAACTTAAAAGGATGTTCATTTTATCAGCTAGGTGGTGCCTTTGCCTTTTATGAACAAAAAAGGCAAACTGTCCTCAAGAGGAAACTGGTGAACTTGCACTGCGTGGTTCTAGTCGCTGGCAGCATTCATATAAATACACCCAACAACAAGCTCAGGCAAAAAAATAAAAAATAAAAATGATTGAGCTGTTGCAGTAGGTCAGATGACTGATTGTTTGCATACAAATCTGAAGTGTCAATAATGACAAGTTTAATATTTTTATCATGGCATCATCATCCATTTGTTGTGGAACAAATTACAAACTGTTCAATGGATTTGCTGCACAACCTATTTTGGTCCATTAATGACGCCTTACACTGGAAGAGAGTGCTGAACATTCAGAGTGAGAAACCATGCCTCTCTTTATACTACATTTTTTGCACACTAAATGTCTTTTGACATAATCTACTGTTTCGGGCTGATTTCAGCTCCGCCTGCTCACCTTCAGCCCACGTTCCTCCTGTGTCCGGTCGTCCACCGAGGCAGAAATGACTCCCCAGCGGCAATCAATATCTGACACAAAGCCTCTGTAGAAGGGAGAGGCTGCACTCAGTGCCATCTGCAAAAAGTAAAAACCATATTTGGGGCAGAGAATTCTTAATTAAAATGTGGGTACAAAAACAGGTGACAAAGCTGACATTATAGAAATACACTGACACTTGTCAATTCAATGGGTGCTCACCTCAACCTTTTTATATATAGAAATCTTGCACTTCATTCAAATTCTTTATAGTTGGTTTCAAAATATCGTAGTTTATGTAAATATATAAGTTCAATAAATATAATCATGATAATATGACAGGAAGCACATTTTATTGATCCACTCACCACAATGGGGCAGAATGTTGCGAGCTGGTCATAAAGGTATCTCGCCTCAGCAATGCTGCAGGCCTGAAATGTCACCTGCAGAAGCACCATGAAAACAACAAGCAGGGGCTGAAGTACACTTATATATCACTTATTGGGACTGTAAAGCTAAAGTCACACAAAACTGTGTAACTAGTCCAGGTTATATCATCTCATTGCTAACACTGAAAACTAAAGGACTATTGAAGGCAACAAATACTCTGGGATGAGCCACAGCTCTGGCAATTGATTCCAAACCTGCAGACAACAGTTGCCCATGCCAAAGCCCATGGCATCCATGTAGATATGATCAGGCAGAGCTGCCCTCGCCGCTTCACCATCGTCCTCAGGAAACTCCTCCACAAATGGAGACGGAGTGCGCTCGTCTTTGAAGACTGAAGCATGAAACAGAATAGAGTCATTTGTATTCACTTCCTCCAAGTCAGTCTGACAGGCATTAAAACCTTTAAGTGCATTTACCGGTGCACGTTACCCTCTGGCCACCGGTATTTTCTTGAAAAACAAGTGACTTATTTTGCTTCATTTAAACTTACTTGGGACATTAATGACGACTTTCTCTCCTCTTCTGTGGCGTATGTTTCTAGTAAGGGTGCTGAAGAAGAAAACACACACACACTTCATTATACAGTAGTAAACAGCATGAAATGAATGAGATAAACACTCTCTCTCTCCATCACACTGTCTTTCCCTCAGCATTTATATTCAGCAAAAGTCCAAATGTAGAAAAAGTACCCCAAACCCCACTGTTAAAAACATGAGCTATCAAATATCTTTTCTTGTCCATGTTTTAGTCCTTTGTGGGGTAATGATCTTTCTTCAACCAGGATGATCAGGTTTGGGTTTCAATGGAAAAGGCTTACAAAAAAGAAAGCATATACAGTACATGCACCACATAAGGGGAATGTCTTTGAAGAATTATTGAGATATTCCACATAAATGCTTCTTTAAGTATCTACAGTAGAAATCTTCATTGGATCTGCTCACAGAGAGTCCTTATCTACGTATTGCCCCTACAGAAAAGATTATTTCGGACAAGTATTATTTCCAAAACCTACAGTGGATCATTGTGCCAAACCAAGCCTCTGAGTTTGCGAAGTTCAAACTAAATACCGAGAAGGAAGGCACAACCTTCCTCCGTTATCTTCAGATAACTAGGTGAGGGCAAGAGCACAAACAAAAACTGTTAGTGCTCAGATCAAATTACTACTATACAACCAGCTGGTGAGGACATACAATACGTGACCAGATACAGATGGACAGATTAGTGCCAACCCAGATGTGTGTGCTAGATGTGGGCAGAAGAAGGGAAACTGTTTCTGCTGCGCTTAGGAATGTGATAAAGTTGAAATTCTTATGGGAGATCAAACATGTCCTTGAAAACTTGTTGGGTGCACTTGACCCTAAACTTTTTATAAATGCCTTTAACCCTGAAAACACAGTATGTGTACAGAAGATATTGTTGCTTTACATTAGCCTTTTCCTTGCCAAAAGAGAGAGACCAGTAACTGCCAGCATTAATTGTACTGAGGAATGATTTACCATGTACATACTAAAGGCCAATTTTTGAAAAAAATGTAGTTGAGGAAGTGTCATGTCCTTCACTGCAGTGATTTGATTTGTCTGAATAAACTGGTATCTTCTTGTCTTTATCTGTTGTGTTATTTCAACAACCACACACACACGATCATGAAATTCTAACAACGAAGCCTACCTGAACCTCGGGTGTCTGTTGATGGCTTCATCTGGGAAAAACAGCGACTTGGACACTCCCTTTTCAACAGGCGTGGGGCTGCACTCCGGTTTGGTGAATCCTGGGCAGCCTAACCTAAACAAAAGACCAGCACATTCTGTAGTTTACATAACTGTTACAGGGGTGCGACCGTCGATTAACAAATCTTCTAAAAGTAGGCGCTCAAGGCCATGGCGCTCAACCAAGGACAACATTCAAATCACAAAAGAAAGATATAGTAGAAAGTTTGCAGAGCCAAATCAACAAGAAAGTTCCTTTGGTTTAGTGCAGACTAACACACATATCAGCACAGGGGGGAAAAGTGCCTAAACCTAAAATGACTCATTTAAATGGGGTTTGGACTGTTTCAGTTTGCTATTAAGTATGGCAGAGAAAAACTTCACAATGAACAAGCTGTGGAACAAGTTCTGATCACTGACTAATCCATAAATCAACTCATTGTTGCAGCTCTAAAGTATTATGCTGACAATTAAAATGTCAATATTGTGAACTTACTGAATTCATCTAACTGATAAAGGACACATATCCCATACAACTGCCATATGTCAAACAATGGATCTGCTTCTCGTCTGTGTTTTACCATCATCTCCACTTCTTAACGAGAGTCAAAACACTTGCTAAAACCTACTAGGTACCTTGGAAAGGAGGTGATGGTGCACAGGGTTTCATTCTGGTTCAGGACAGCCGAGGCCTCTCGTCGTCTCTTCCCCATGTTGCCCTCCACAGTGTTGAACTCTGACATCGTCCCACCGTACGGCTGCCCTGGAGTTCCTTCAATCATGTAGCTGCCATATTCAGGTCTCCAAAGTGTGGGGTGACTGCAAAAATATACAAACGCTGTGAAAGCATTCTACTGTTACAGGTCAGAAAGGAAGGAGGCAATCAGCACGGGGGCCCTGGTCTCAGTGTCACGATGACCTACCTGATTAAATAAAGGGACTGCTCTCCCTCTATTGTGTGTCGGCCATAATTTTGACGAGGTACACAAATGCAACGTATTTGTGCTTCAGAGCGTGCTCTGTGGTGTGTTCAACAGAGGGGCAGTAATAAGGAATGCGTCGGCCCCGTTGTTCCCACTGCCATTTCCACTCAGTGAAGTCGGCTCCACAGATTTAGACTGACGTCATAGGCAGCGAGCAAGCAAAACACTCAGGAGCTTGTACAGATGCATTTATACCACACGCTGAGAATTTTTTAGAGAGTTTCGATATGCACACAGCATTAACGTTCCTCAGACGTTACACGAGGACACGTTTCTTCATATTTGAGGACTTCATCCTGAACACGTCTGTGAACGGTTCATGCAGATGATTCTGAGACAAATGGTTTATTTTGTCATGGGGACATTTTCAGAACAACTTTGCAAATGTATGTTAAACTAGGGCTGGATTAAAATATCAGTAGATCAAACTGAAAATGAACGGGCATCTATTCTCTTAATCATGCACAGCATTAAAATGAATATGTCTGGGTTCTGGACCATTGACCAGACTTAACAAGACTAGAAGTGTAACTACAACTACTTTCATTACTGATTAACCAACCCAAGGTGAAGGCTTCAAAATGCTTCACACAACACTCCCAAACCCAGAGACACTCAGTTTATTATCATATAAAGACAAGGGAAATCAGCAAACATGTTTTAAGACATCCCCTTCTGGAAATGGACTGTTTTCTCACTATTTTCAGAACAATTAATCACAAGAATAATCAGCAAATTAATGAGATATTAAAAACCGTCATTACTTGCAGCCCTCATTTACACGCTTCAAACTGAACATAGATGCAGATCTTTTATGTTTCTTGATCAGACATTTGATCAGAAATCTGTAAAAAGTTAGGTTATGGGTTACTGAGTGTTGACAGTGACAAATCACTGAAAATAAAATGCACAACACAATTAAGTGTGCAAAAAAGTGAAGGGGTCAGAGAACGTTCTGAAGCCACTGTATATAGTATTCAACAAAACTTAATACAATCCTGCACAAAAATCACTAAAATGTAAAATGATTCAAAACTGTACCGTCTCACATTAAGTGTATAATTTTAAGCTGATGTTTAGTGTTTTTAATCTTATGTGCAAACAGGTTGGAGAGGATACATTCAGAGTTCACCCTCACACAAACAGGTTAGAGAGGATACATTCAGAGTTCACCCTCATTGCAACAAGTGACTCCACCTGTGACCACTGCAACAAACACCTGTCATTTCCATTTAAGGCTAATTGCACAAACAAGGTTATAATAGAACCAGTTTTCTTAAGTCTGGTCTGAGTTACGTCTCGTGCAACCTGACGCCTCATGGAGAGGAACTGCCCGAACAAGTAAGAAACCAGATGAGACTTCATGACAGAGAGAGAAGGCACAAGAGCATCAATAGGTGACTGAACATCAGTGAAACAGTTTCAGCGGTGGTTAGGAAGAGCCATACTAACAAAAGAAGGTGCTGTGGCATCCTCAGTGAATGATGCTATTTGCACAGCCTTGCACTGAAATACAGACAGGTAAGTGCTTCTGACTTGGCACAAGGATTATCTGTGGAAATTGGTGTCTCGGTGACTGATCACTCAATTGCAAAAAAACAAAACTGTGTGATTATACTTTGCCAAAACAAATCAACTAGCATACAGTGATCGAATGGTGTTTGTGAAACATGGAGCTGCCTAAGTGCAACAGGGAGACGACATTTACAGATGAGTTATTGGGGGAGGTGACAGCGGTGTGGTGGGTAGAGCAGTCGTCTCCCAACCAGAAGGTTGAAGGTTCGAATCTCGGTGCGGGCAGTCCACGTGTTGAAGTGTCCTTGGGCAAGACACTGAACCCCCCCCCCCCATGGTTAGAGCCCTTGGTTGGGGG